GGTGGGTGACGAAAGTGTGAGGACAATAAATTCATGCTCTCAGCGGGAACAACTTAGCCCGCTCGCTTTTACAACCCCAGCATAACGATAATGGCTGATGAAATATTCCGATCCCAAATGGCTGGCAGCGGAGCTCGGCTCAAATAAATCGGCGGTTGTCCAGGAAAAGAGTGCATCAAGAACATTCGACTCCCGATGAGCAGAAAAACAAACATCCATATGGCGGTTATTCACTTCCACTTCCCCGTTTGTTTATCAATGAGCGAACAGGAAAAACACGTTAACGCGATCGCAGCGATAAATGTCACTTACCAAATTATTACGACCCGCTGATTAAACGACAACAGTGAAATAAATCCAGATCAATAAGCCAAAAAAGCAATAAAGGGCGAAGATTTCTCAAATAAATTATTTATGTATTTATAGAGAAAATACTGCAGTAATCTGGTTATAGAATGGATTTCATATTTTCCATGACAATGGCTTTTCTTAAACCGGTTTTCGTATGGCTTTCAATTAGGGGAACCTGCTGGCAATTAGAATTGCAAATGAAACTGCCCGAGAAGAGCCAAAAATATAAACCAGAACAACCCAAGCAGCGGCTGAGGAGCAGAGTGTGAATCAAAAATAAATGTGAAGGGGAGTCGATGCAAAAAACGCTGAAGAGCAAGACGAAGACGAATCCGGAAATGGCACCAAAGTGCGGAACAAGTGGCCGGCACAACTTGGGGGATGGAACCGGAATCCTTCGAGGATTCGGGCGATCGGGGGTTTCGGGGATTGGGCATTCGGGGGGATTGCGTGGGTGCTCACAGTTTTTCAATTTTGATGCGCCCAGAAACAATTTGAGAGTAATGACGAAGAAAGTTGTTACTCGGCGTGTGGCTCATTTGTCAGGAATTGGGATTGGGTTTGGGTTTTAGATTGGGATGGACTGGGACTTCTTGGAGCCGGAGGACGGATCGGGTTATAATCTAAACGGTTCGTGGAAAATAGGCGTGCATAAATTTATATTCGCAGGAATGGCGTGAAAAATGGACGGGCGTGAATGGAAGATATTTGCCTCTGGATTTCAACTAGTTCTTTTCCGCTTTCAGCCGAGCATCGATTGATTTTTGATAGACGCAAGAGCGTTGCCCTCATCGGTTTAATTGCCCAAATCAATAGACATGAATAAAGGCGCAATAAACAGGCGAGTGCTCGAATTAAACAAACTGATTCCGAACGTAGGTGTAAGTGCAGGAATCAGGTAGCGAAACAATTGCGTTAATTGGCCAATTGACTGGCAACACTTGCCATTAGGCCGAGGAGCGACTTCCCGTGGAAAGGCGGCGCTAATTGTTTGGCAAGGCGTGGCCGAATATAAATAGAACTTAATGAGGGAGCGATGGGAGCATATTTTCCGAGTGGCCATATGCTCGCACTTTGCATGACAAATGAGGCGTTCCCATCGTGCGGGGCTCACTTCTTGATTGCCGTCATTTCTCAAGGGGAAAGGTCGAGGAACGGGTTGACAAGGGTTCCTGGGGTCGGATGTCAACTCCTCAGTCATTTCTCTCCATATAAACTTTTCCCATTCAGCGGCTCACGGTATCATTTATCTGGAGGGCGCACAGACTTAATAACCCATTTGTCGGCGGATCTCGGAGCGTGGCTCGCAGGCATACAAATGGCCAATAAGAGCTATCATAAACACCAGTCGAAGGAGACAGTCGGGACATATGCCGCCGTGTGGCATAAAAAGCGGCAGGCAAAACTGCAGGGGAACCGGCGACCTTGCCGAGTGGCAAACACTTGGCTTCTAATTAAGCTCCGTCGGCAGGGAAGGAAAACAAAACAAAAGTTTCCCCCAGGCAATGATTAAGCACCCACGTAGTACTACGGCACTATGGCACTCCGGGAATCTCCGGAGGAGGTGGTGGCCTCCGTTCCACATGCGAGTGCGAGTGCTAATCAAATTGGGTCTAGTCCCTGTCTGCAAACTGCTCGTCTTTTTGGTCGGCAGTGGCTTGTTTGTCAGCAGTCTGCCTCTAATGCGTAAGTGTGCCAAAACTGATTGCATAATTATGCAAATGCCCCCAGCACAATGAAGTCTAATGAATTACTCAGACCTCCGCGGCCAGAAGGCCAAAAGTGATAGCCATGGTTCTTAGTCAGCAGTCAAGAGGCTCAAAAGTAAACAGCCACTGCCAGCAGAGTGGCGAAATGTGTGGCTGCTTTCCCCTTCCTTTCCCCGGAGTTTTTCCTTTCTTGTCGATAATGATTATACAATAATTTGTTCTGTGGCCCCGGCTTTGTGTTCGGGGTGTTGGTAATTACATTTGACTTTGGCAGTCGCAGGGGAAGTGTTATGGATTAATCGAATTAGGCCCAAATCTGCGACAACAAGACGGATAATTAACAGCAGTCGTTGCCTCATTGCCAGATGCACACGGAAGAAAAATATAAAACCTAATTAAATATTTTTAAATAAGCCGTAAAACTTATGAACAAAATCTATTATATGAATGGCGTCAAGTATATTATTAAAATTATTAAGAATCGTTAAAATATATGATTGTTATTAATAGATAAATAGTAATGTATTTTACACAGTTTTCTTGGCTTCAGAGAACATCATTTTCTCAGAAAAGCAAAGAATATACTCAGCCCAAAAACCATTAAGAATTTTATAGATAAATAAATACATTTTCTACAGTTTTTTGGACTTTATAATAATGAATTTTATGGTTTTCAGAATACAAAGTGTTACTTTGTGAACGTCAGTTGTATTTCCCTGTGTAGTAAATAGTAACTGCGTTGACAGTAAATTAAACACGCATTAGTTCACTCCCGATTCCATAACCCGAATCCTGCACGTGCCCTTTCAACAATTCATAATCGTTAAACCTAATCGCTGAGCTCATTTTCATTTTCACATTGCTGCCTTGTTTGTTTTCCCAAACATAAAGAAACCCACTCGCGAAAATTCAATCGAAAACTTGGCCGTAAAAAGAACTAGCGCACATAAATAGTGAAAGAATAAGAATTTTAACAAAATAAATATGAGGCCCATTAAAACTATATCGACAATCATCGCTAGTATCGATCTGGGTTAAGCAAACGCTGCAACGAAAACAGCGCCCAACCCATCGAAGATATCACCCCCTTTTGGGCGGCCCACCTTTTATTTGCATTGCGGGTGACAGTTGAGTTGAGTTAAATTTTGAAAAGAAATTCACGCTGGGAATGGCTGGCTGCTGTTTATTGTGGCTGTGAATCAGCGAGCGACAAAAGTGGCGGGCATTTCTTATTCAGGCGGCGTTCCTGCGATTGCAAACGCGATCGCGATTGCCCCAAAAAAGCAAAAAAAAAAGCAAACCGAAATCGAAACAGAAACAGAAACATCAACTGAAACCAAAACTAAGGCCAAGAAATCGAAAGGCGCCACACACGCGTCTGGCAAATCAAATGGACAAGCGACTGACTTAATTTTCCCCTCATCTTCGGTGGACAGCTCGACGTGTTTGGCCGCATACTTTTCCTTTTTTTCCTCCTCCGGTTTTCTCTTGGTTTTCTCATTTCCAGCAGTGCGTAATTAGGCAGAGTAAGGCGTAAAAAATGAGACGGCCAGATAGAAAATCGCAACATGAAAGACGAGCGCATAAATCACAATTCCCGGCCGCATAAATAAAGACATTTGATTTGGAACTGGGCCTCTGGCTGATGGCTCTGCTCTTCGGCTGACCGAAATAGCAAAGCCCAATCAACTTGTGATGCAGGCCGAAAATTCTTAAAACGAAATGCCGGCCTCTCCGGCGTATACGCAATAAATTTTCATATTTCTTATGCCGCTCGCGCTCTCTCTTATCCGATTTGCCCCCAGTTCGCTGGGCTGTAAGCGATATAATAATATAAGGATGAATATGGCAGAGGGGGCGGATCCCCGCCCCTTCCACATATGACGTTGCCAGTGCCGAAATTTATAAACAAGCAATACGAACTGAGCCGGACTAAGTCGACCTGGCTGCGTATTAAATATGTTTGGCATTAAATTCGCGCGGCAATACGAATGGTAAACAAAAGGCCACGAAGAGCGCCAACAGATGTTGCACTTATTTAATGAGCTGACGATGGGTGGTGGATGGGTGATGGGTGGATGGGTGGTAGGCAATGGGCAACAGTCGATGGGCTGTTGGGAATGTGTTCTTAAGCAAATAAAGCCCCGTATTTATACAACTTACTCGCTTATTTCTGGACGGCCACTTGAGTATGGGAACGTGAGCCGCCAAAATGAGTTGAAAATGGGTCTGTGACATAGCTCGGGATTTTGAGTGTGGCTCAAGGTTATATAGAAGGGATAAGGGGGGAGGGAAATTCAAGAAGCTCACACTTTTCGAGTGAGGTTTCAAGCACCATCTCCCAATAATCACGAACTTGATGATCGAAATAATCACTTCGAACACAATAATGACGATCATGACTGGGCGATTGCGTACGCTCAGTAGTGGCATTAATTTGTCAATGTTTGTGTTTTGAAATCAATATTATCAACAAAATAAACATTATTAATAACGATGCTCGGCTGCGGTTCAGTGGATAGTCGGGGTTATATTGAAACGCGTATGCAAATGCCGGCAAGTCGTTTGGTTTCATTTATTCGATCAAGAACCTAATGTGGCAGTTTATTCTATCGCAGAGGTGGGATTCTAAAATATGGCAGACATTAGAAAAAAGTCATTAAACTATGTGAAAAGGAAACACCAAGTAGAATTTGTTCCACAAAAACTTTTAAGCTCGGAGATAAATATCGAATTTGAGCAAACAATTGCGCAAAACAGAACTCTTCTGAGAGATAAGACCTTCGCGGTTCACTAGAAGATAACCCCCATAAAATTAACAGCCCTGCATTGTGCTCAGCCCAATTTACTTTTCAAATTATCAAGAGCATACGAGCTTCATTCAATATCGCTGCCATAAACACCTTCAATTTGTTGACACACCACAAGTGGAAAACTTACCTGCGAATAGCCGGCGGAAAAGTCAAGATCGGGCGGGAATATAGATCGGGAATGTGGAACTGTTCCGTCGGCCCCCGCAAACGCAAAACGCAAACGCCTGCCTGCGGTGGCAAGTGCATTAATTTCCGATGTCAAACTTCACGGCAACACTTAACGAAATACTTTTTATGTTTTGCATGCAATTAAAAGCATTAACACGACGCCGCCGACAACCGCAGCCGGCTGACAACGGTGTTGACATTAATGGCCGCGGCAAAGTGCAGTTCGCCGGAGAATCGTCCGCCACAAAGAAGAGAGTGCCAGCGAGACATATAGCTGGGTGCACCTGTCACCGATGATTCCCGATTCCGAATCCAATTCCGAATCCGATGCCGAATCTATTTCCCAGAATTTCGAATCCAAAAGCAACTCTCTTTCGCCGCGACAAGGACAAAACTGATCCAGCCAACCGCTCGATGGCAGGTTTTCCAAAAGACTAACAACGCGGTTTTCTAGCAAACATTTTTCATACGCCGTGTTTGCCGGCACGGCCAAAACAACTGCCAAAAGCTCTCGGCAGAATCGGCAAAGCTCGTGGACTCAAGCTAGCCGAGAGCTTTTCCACTCGGCTTTCCCTCCACCAGTTTGGCATTTTGGCGCGAAAAGCATTCGTTGGGGCTTTTGTGAATGGGGAGCAGAGCGCCCTCGTAATTGGACTTTGTTTAGATTGCTCAGTGCGTAGAATTCCGGAGGGGGAAGTCCGGCGACTTCTGTGACGTAACTTGAATGAAGTGCGCGTAAAAGCTGGCATGCAATCACGAACTGTACAGGGTGCCGCTTATAGGAATAGTAAAACTTAGATTTGAAATATCAACTCAAGAGTTACAATAAATTGGCTATAGTTAAACCGTATATAGTAAGAATATACCTAAAGTCTAAAACTTTGATTTTTTAATACAATTTCATTAACTAAAAGCATATGAGGAATTAGGATTCAATTTTTATGTACAAACAAGAAAAATAACTACCTTTAATATTATAAAAGAACTAAACATTTTTGGTAAAATAATTTGAATATTATATCAAGTTTTCATATTATCTAGATATAATCTAATTAAATATTTAAGCATAAACGTTTAAAAACTTGGTTCCCCGTCGAAGGTATAAATTCAAGATCGAGTGGTAATATTGATCTATAATTAATGTCAAGTTTTTAGGACTATAATCACAATACCGAATAGTAGGCGCCTTCAAGTACCAGCAGTAATCGCCGCCATTTCCCAATAATAAATCACTTGTTCTTATCACTGCTCAACAATATACTTATGTTTTATTGGTTTGAACTGTATTAACAATTGAGTAAAGGAATTGCTAAATAATTATAAGTAGTAAAATCCTAATCTGTTCGGAAGCCTATATTTTGGATTTCCCTGAACCTTTGGACTTAGCATTAATAAGACCTTTTTTTGTGAAAACAAGAAAGTACGCTAGCTTTAGCAGGCGGAAGCCTACTATACTGTACATACCCTTGCAGATAGAACTTAAGTATTTAAAACGACAAGACTCATTAGAAATTAATAGCAATAGGGTTTACCATAGGGGCCGTCCATAAACCTCGTGACATGCCTAGGGGGTGGGGAAGTTCATCAGAGTGTCATTCTTTGTTGTAAGGAGGTTGTAATTTCACACAGTGCGGGGATCCGTCCATAAAATTAACGTCACGAGGTTTATGGACGGCCCCATATAATATCGAATTATATGTCTAATTTTCTGTCAATTGTCTATTCTCCTCTATGACATCTATGAATTATTTCGATCTTATTCTTATTTTCATATTAGTCTTATATTAATTTTATATTAATTGTTTCTATGCCAACTAATAAAATCCGCTTTTAATCAAATTTAAAAACAACAACGTCTTTTTTGGTTTACAATAATTTTATATACCTTTTTCGATTTCCTATATGAGTTATAGACATCAGACTTTATTAGAATTTAATTCAAGAGCTTCGCAAAAATTCCCAAGGTCATGCCTGTAGGACAAAAAATAAAAGCTTTATAGTTTTTTTCATCTTATTTTTGTAATTTTTTCTATATCTACATGATATTGCCTGATCCGGATCGTTCCGACTACTACCTGCAATAATTACACATTTTTAGGTAAAGTTTTAGGGAGATTGCTATAAGTTTACAATGAACAAACAGGTTGACAGGGGGACAAATGTACAAGTACATGTTTAGATTGACTCAGTTGGTGATGCTGATCAAGATTGTACACAATTTTTAGGTTCTGAGGACTTAAATTTATAGGGCATAAATTTAGTGGATCTTTTCTAGGTCTTAGCAGTTAGTGATGCTAATTGATGCCGCTGTGAGGAAGAGTAATTCTCAAAACTAAAAATACTTGAAATATTAATCGCTTCAAAAAAGATCGTACAGTAAACAAAATTGAACAAAAAATTGTACAGTAAGAGTGTGATTGTTATACAGATTTATTTGTCTTACACTTTAACATAATGACTTTCATATTTTCTCACGTAGCAAATATCTGATTTCAACGAAAATACAGTCACTTGCACTTGAGGATTAGTAAACTTTGAATTTCGTCGAATTACAATCTAATCAACCTTCCAACCTTTCCTAAAAACAATAAATGGGATTTCCTCGTGCCTCTGTTTGGGCGACTCAACCTTAATTGGCGAAAATTGCGACGAACCCTTCTTATCAGGGCAATAAGAAGCCAAATGAGCAATCAAAATATTATTAAAACAGTTGGGAATACCGAAACGCCAGACGCTGTGATATCAAGCAGCTGCCACCTTAATATTTTGATTCTTGAAACTCAATCAGATATACACCTTCAAGAGGTTTTTAACACGCTTGCGTCTATCATGCTGATAATCTGGTCCTTTTAGACTGTATTAACTTATAGAGAACTGTGTTATTTTGACCACTCCAATCGCAAGTAGTTATTATAAGATGCAATAAAATGCAAAGTTCACTAAAAACCCACTTACACGTGCTTCAGCTGTGAGTCAGGTTTTGATGAAATAACAAGGAGTCTACATGCTCATAGCGCGTGTACAATGGGAAATTTCCTGGTTCTATTGTTCCCAAAATGGATTAATATTAAGTCCCTAATACGGCATATCTTTAATCTCTATTTCCTGCAGTCTAGTCTAAGATATTATCTATCAAAAACTGGTGAAACAAGATCTCGGAGCTTAAGTTTCCACAAAGCTGTTGAACTTTTGAAAGTTATTTCAGAGCTCATAATATCATTACTAATAACCAACGACCGCAAATCGTACTAGTTTTCATATATGTTTATGTAAGGCGCAATCTTTGGACTTTAAATACCAATTATTTTATTTTAAAAATATTTTAATAGATAAATTGCTTTATAATCTATAATTACTTATAAATAATGTTCTATGTACACTGAGACGCTTTGGCTTTCTTAATGTTCTTAATTAGTGGTATTAATTTCTTTTTCTTCGTTAGTTGGCAGTTCAGCTTTGGTTTCCAGAGGAGGAGCTGAAGCACTTTCGTTGGAGAATGAAATTGGTTCTGGAGTCTGCTTCTCCAGATCCGCAGGCGAAGGATTTGCATCTGGATTCGCCTCTGCAGGGGGAAGTTTTGGCTGGGGAGCTGGTCTTCGGTTGGGAAGGATCAGGCTCTCCAATCCTCCGCAAGGAGCTTCGATCAAGACGTACATTACATAGGCGAGTAACACAGAGAACCCAAAGTCCTGCCAGAAGCGCAGCATCTGATAGAGGAATTTCGAATTAAATTAAATATTTCTCAAGAGTTTAGCTGGGTTTCAAGATCACTTACAATATCGTAGTTGGAGAAGTAGGTGTTCACTCGCGTGCGCCCACCATTGAGGTTCTGGATGAACAGATGACCCATGTAGACGCAGAAGGAGAGCTTCGACAGAGGCTGCCAAAGGGGCGAGGTGAGGAAGGAGTTGGCCAGTCCGCCGTACCCCTGCATGCAGGCAAAGACCACCCAACTCAAACCCAAAGGCCAGGCAATTCGGGAGAGAGTCACATAGAAAGCCTCATTCAAGATGGGCAGGGTTTTGGATTTGGTCATGCCATAAGGATACATGGCGAAGATGCAGGTGCAGAGCAGGGCCAGACTGGTGATCCATCCCAGCCAGACAGCAGGACGACTCAGCTTGATTTGCTTTCCTCTAATTGTGTGCAGGAAGTAACCGAACAGGAAGCCCACCATCCAGCCGGAGGTCCTGTTGTGCGTGTAGTGCGATAGGTCCTCGGAGTACTCATTTGGCCCTCCACCGCCGCCTCCGTTCATCCTATTGAATCGAAAATTATATTATAAATATCTCTGTATAAATTTATGTAGAGAGGGAACTCACAGAGAGTAATCGTTGACCACCATTATGCTGAACAAGTAGGCTGCGAAACCCAGCAGAACTAGCAGCACCACCGCAGCTCCCTTCTTGCCCCACTTGTACACGATGATCAGGAAGATGGGAGCCAGGATATAGAGCTGCATATCGATGGCCAGATACCAAGTGTGGGCCAGGCACTTTAAATCAAAGGTAACAATTAGCTTGAAAGCTAAGTAAGCAGGTGTTAACTTACTTCCTGACTGGTGGCGTAATTCTGAATGTAGAGCAATGTCCAGTACCAGTTGTCGTTGCAGTTATCGTAGCTATCAAAGTTCCAGTTGCCGTACAGCGGACCATCGCCCACGAGGGGCAGTAGCTTCAGATAGACCAGAATAGATACTGCCACGATGGGTGTGAGTCGCAGATATCGGTGGAGGTACATCAGCGGAATATTCAGCTTGCCCTTGGCCCTGAAATGATAAAGCAGTTAAGGAAGGTCGCTTTTAATCGGGTAAACAACCTACTTTTCCATGGAACGCAGGGCAACCATTGCCACCAGAAGTCCACTAATGAAGAAGAAACTATCCACTGCGAATACGCCTTCGTAGATAACGTCCATGAAAGGTGTCTTTGCCCACTGATCGTTTGGAAGAGATTATGAAACCTTTACAAAAACCTAGGAGTATTCCTTGTTTACTCACCGTATAGACATCGTACAAATTAATGTTGGGCGAGGTGATGCCAATTATATAGTCGTGACCAAAGCACACCCAGATCAAGGACATGCCTCGCAATCCATGCAGGCACTCAACCACATTTGGATTGGGTTTGGTGGTGACGCGAAAAAGCGATCGGGAATTGGCACGTACGGAGAAAATCTTAATCAGGGCAGGCAGTTTCTCTAATATAGGAAAAATTAAAAGGAACAATAAGCAAGGAGCTTCATTAGTCGAAAATTTAACTCTACTTACTTTGATCTTCGCAAATAAAGTAGTCATAAAGTGTGGAAAGACCAGCCACTCCGGCAAACACGGACAAAAGAACACTACATTTATTAATTAACAAAAAAATATAATAAATTTAATTTTAAAACATAATCTGTTTTGAACTTACATGGTGAAAATGGTCATGGCGTCGTAGTCCTCGCGTTCCGAAGTTTTGCAGGAGTTTTCGCTGACCAAGTTCGTGTTGGCATTCAGCTCCAGTCCAACCAGCTGCTTAAGGACTCGCTTCAGAAGTGTATCCATATTGGAGGCGGAGCAGGAGGCGGGGAAGCAAACGGCCGACTGGACATTCATCCTCATCATGCCACCGGCATTTCCTAGTAATTCTTGCAGAGGCAGATTGGCCAGGCAGTACTTTCCCAGCAGACTCGATCCAGTTGCAGAAGTCTGCTCGATGGCTACACACTCGTCGTAGTGACCCAAGTCCTTGAGGTGACCCTTCAGGATGCCAGCCGGAATGGATCCCCAGGAGTCGATCACTGTGCAGGAAATCCATGAGGTCTCTTTGCACACTTTGTATTCACTTTACTCACTTCTGAAGGCCCAAAGGCTGCCGCTGGCCAATCCCGCTGTCAACTGGGCAAAGTCCGCGTAGCACTGCAAATCACTGACGGTGGGCAACCGACCTTCGGGAACCACATCCTCCAAGGTAGCATTCTGGGTGAGTTGAAAGAACTCCTCCGCCAAATGCCTCAGTTTGTTCAGACGCTGGTAATCCTGCACATCCAGTTGGATTCCCCTGTCCACTTCCTCGTCCAAGTTGAGGGCACTGGTCGTGGCCAGGCCAAAAAGTAGTAGCACTATTGCGATCCTCGCCATTTCTGCCGAATGTTTTCCGCCGATTGGCTTCATCCGGAGCAGAGCGACCCCTTTTATAAGCCATGTCTGCCGGTCGTCTGAGATAAGGATTATATATTACTTCGACCACCTTCGATTAGCCCAATTTCCTACGTTAACATGACTCTGCAATCTAATACATACCTTTAAATATAATCAGCCAAATTTATAATATTGATTCAAATCATTCACGAAACCTTTGTTTTTGCATATCGCGGGGGTCGGAGAGCGATTATCTTATCGATACTAAACCATTCGGGTGCTGAAGTGAACTCACTTTTTATAATAAACCGCCAGCATGGGTGTCTACTTGAAGTTGTTACTATTAATTTATTTCTTATATCGATTATAGGGAAGTATAGAACTGGGATATTTTCGGGGTTCACACGGCCTTGTCCACTTGAGAACTGCTTTTCCAAGTCCAAAAATCCAGCATTAGTCGACGTAAAAATAAAGCAACTCACTTTCTTATCTTACAATGTCTGCTAATTCGCACCCACTTTTGCTGGTCAAGTGGGTTTCTAGGTGCTATTTATTGCTTTTCGATTGAGTAGATGCGATCAATCCGGAAAGTTGACGGCGAGTATATCTTAGTAATCTGATTTTGCAATGAGCTAATTAACATACGGTGCTTATGAGTGGAACTTGATCGACTTGAAAAGCAACATGTCACTTTTAATGTACGGTCTGGTAAATGAGTCTGCATCCTTAATGGTGTTGTAATTGATCTCATAATTTAACTTTAACACATTTCATGTCATTAGTGCATTAACAATTAAAAGGGTTTGAGAAGGGGAACAAATCTTCTTAAAAGAAAATAAGAATTAAGAATAGATTTGCTTGCAGCCCAGAAAATGTTGATATTCTAAACATTAACTGCATGAAAATAGCTTCAAAGGTATTTAAGATCAGCTCCACACAACCACTATTCGGTGCATAAACTTTCGCTTCAGACTCAGGTGTTTTATTATATTTTCATTATTTTGTTAGGTTTTCCTAAATCACTATGATTGATCGTGTGCCAAATCTTATCGCGCCAATATAACACTTGGATTCATCTGAAAATTTGTTTAGCCGGAACCTGGCTGCGCGTGTCCAAAAATGAGGCAATGGTTTTATAAAAGGCAATCAATTTCATGATAAAGCTAAGACCCAAAATCTGGAATTTAATCTTGAAGTTCCAGACTTAGCCTGATCTTTATTCTAACAACGCAATAAAGCTCAAAAGTCAATACCTCGAAATTAAACTTGCAGTTTAAGACCAACCCTAATATGCCTTAAGATGATTTATATATTTAAAGCTAATAAAAGAATTTTGACATTATAAAAATCAAAATTTACATAGAATAAGCAGTACAATATCCTTTGTACAATCCCTACAATCCCCAGATATAACAGAAGTTATATTGCTTCTCCCCTTATTAGTATCGTACTTGATTAGTACTGGATTTGCATATATTGCATAGTGAACTAAAAAATTTAAATAATGGTCGTGCTCCTAATTTTATCGGTACTTCAAAAATTCCTCAGAACCCCCAGCCAAGAGGATTATTTACGACGTGGGAAAACACTGTTGCACGTTTCTAAAGCGTGTCGTCGAACATTTCAGACTAGGAGTTCTATAAAGAATTCCCTGAAAAGATTATTTTAAATTAAACCATGTTAAGCTCAAAAAAGCAACTTAATAATAAATATGACAGGCAGTTCAAGAAGTGTTTAACCTGAAATGTGGGCTAAGCTTTTGAGATTTCAGGTGCTTTTAATTACTTTCTCGTTATCAATTTATCATATTGCTACAATCGCCTCATTAACATTTTGCAACATTTGCAAATTTGCATTTAAGCAGGCCAAGTGGCCCGTCTCCGCCACCACGCCTATCCATTAATATCGCCAAGCGTGTGTATTATATATAGAAGGCTGATTCGAGTGGCTTCGGCCTGCAGCGCTAATGATCGTTTAATTGGCCGCGTAATTCAATTAGAATTGGCCCAGCTGTCCGGCGGTGGAAGTGCTCGCCACTTCCGTAAGTACAGGGGCCAGATTCCTGCAAGTAATTATCCGTCTGCCACTCGACACGTTCGCGATTAAGATGGTTATGATTTCGGCTCGCATGTTGACAAAAAAAGCTTGGCTGTCATTGTCATGTCCAACACGACGTATGCGTAACCGGGCGAACCCAATCGCAAAAGGCCAAATCGCAGACGCTGATCACAACAACATCAAAAGCATCGATCGGCCGATTGCGAAAGCAATCAGCGCCTTCGAATTGTTCGATTCGATAGCCGCCGGCTGTTCTTAACAGTAAACTGTCCCGCGTCGAGTTGTTTAGGGAAATACTGGTTGGGGCCAACAAACGAGTTCGACTGCCTCCTGCCAATGCACACAGAAAGAATCTCTAAGATTGAACAGGGAATAATTTACACACCATAAAAATAGACATAAATTAATTAAATGTTATATAAAATTTCCAGACAAGTGTTATGTTTTATGAGCAACTTGTGTAAATGATTCATTTATATTATAAATTTATATTTTACTATAGATTGAATATCAAGTCTACCAATATTTTTTAGAGTTTTTGAATAATGATTATTAAAAGTTCCAGTCAAAACATATTATTTATACAGTACGTCTACAGTTGATCAAAGCAATCAATCATATTACATATGTGGATCAAAAATACCTGTTCAGACTACAATTATTTTAGGTACATAAAAACTGATGGCCTTTGGTGATTTTTTTGCCGTGCAATAACCGCAGCATTATCGCGTCACAAGCGTGCCTCAAAAAGCACAAATCGCGCGAAACGACGAAAACAAGTGGGAATGTTGTTGCCGAGAAGCGATTCGGTTCGTAGAATTGTTTAGCCGACATGGCGGATGCGTCACACTTTCTTTTTGGGGAAGTCCGGATGCGCGAGATCGGCCCGAGTCAGCCGAGTACTAGCCGGTTCCAAAGATGCCTCCTCACGGTCGCTGACGTTGCGTTGGGGAAACGTGACTCGGGTGTGAAGTGGTCCGAGATACGAATCTTTGCATCCAGCAGATACAAACGGACAAACACGTAAATGGGAGAACCGTGCGCTAATTTAAATCGGCATGGGCACAACCTCTTTGTGGCTTTGTTTTTATGGCGATCAATTAGGTTTTAGTAATCAGTAATTAACAGTTCTTGCAGACCACTTTATCGGGAGCACTTCGATGCCATAACATTTTCGGGAGTGAATCACGAAACTTTAAAACAAAATCCCCGCAAAACACTGGCTTCGAAATCTGTCCCAAATTTTCATGTGAATCCTCTTTTTTGTCAAGGAAAAGATCCCCCAATGGGCGTTTATAATGCTAAGCATTCATTTCAGTTGATTAAAATGCAGAACGCTTAATTGGAAGGCAATTGAAGGAAGGAAGTTATCGCTTTTTATGGAACGTTTACAATGTTTAGAAAATACTCGATTTTTATGGTCAATCAACAGCAAATGCAACTTGCGCTTAAGTTGTTAAGCTACCGACAATTATTTTTATGAAAGCAACTTACTTTATGAGCGCCAATAAAGTTTTACTCGCTCAAGCTGTGAATAGTAAAAAATTAAAATGCATTACATACTTTATATCAAAACAAATATAAATATTTAATTACTTGCTATACTAATTATTATTTGCGATTAAAATTAAAAAGCAGTTTCTAACCAATTCCAGAACTTATAAATTAATTATTTAATAGTTCAAGCTGTCATATTCTTTTCTTATAAAGTATTATTAATGCACGCAAATAGATCCACATTGTGAGGTAATGATTCCTTTCAACAACTCCGAATTCTTTACCCGCATCGCAGCTCGGCTTTCTGCTTTAGATTCTTGTGCGGAGCACCCATGATTTGCTAATTAATTGTCGATTAATTGGATACAATATTATTTCGGATTCCTGAACATTCGAATGTGTCGGACTTTCTTTGCGCATTTAATCAATTAACTGATTAACCTTGATACTGCAAACAATGTTCGACTTCAACTTGTCTACTATTTATGAAGTCCATTATACTCTGAGATTTCCAAGTGTTCCCCTGCATTAGTAAGCAGTGGGTTCATATTGACTAATGATTGACTTAAAAGTCAGGGGACAGGCGCCTAGTCGCCATACTTCAACTGCAAATTTTCACACTGACTTTGTAATGGAAAGCACAACATGACTGCTGCACATAGTATGTGATAATACTGTAGGTTAGCTTTAGAGCGATCCCTCTCACATTTGGATGATCAACTGACAGGTACAACACTGTCTACAAATTGCAGCTACTGCGATCCTCGGTTTATTTGAAATTCCACTTTTAATTGCGATTTTACTTTCGCATTAAACACTTGCGGGTTAAATGTAGTAAATCGGTAGCTGGTCGTAAATTCGACCAATTTGTAATAAAAGGCGTTAGTAGTAATAAAGTCGTAAAAGCACAATCAAGATTGCATATTAATAGCGATTGAATAGTCAATATCATTTCAATATTTTAAGCAGAGTTAAATAAAAAAAGAATTGAAGTAACTGTGTGGAAAATCTGGGAGTAGAACGTATTTATTAAGGATGGGTCACAAATATAATTTTATTGACAAATATTTAAAAAGGAACAGGCCCAAATAGCTGTTTTACAATCTAGCCAAAAACTTTGCTACATTTTAGCAGTAGAAATTTACTATTAAGTTATGTAAAACCTTCAAATAATTTTCTATGAGAATTTTAAATGGTTTTCCAATATAAGCATTAAAATAAAATGTTAAGTTAAATAAATAAATAAATTAGTTTGATGCAACGTTTAAACGTCAGACTCTTTTTATATTTTATTAGTTACAATTATTGTTGTCATATTTCTTAAAAACGTATATTTTGTTTTGAAAAAAGTCCTTTTTTTGTTAAAAATACATTTTAATTTTTTATAAAAAATATTTTAAACCACTGTAACCAGATTCGAAGGACTAATAAATTTCAATGTGATTTTCTAGTGTTGTGTAGTCAGTGTGATCTGACTTTCTTCGAACCGCATTCAAGTATGTGTCACGCGAGGGATTTCCAATAGATTAGTGGGCTGAGAAATAATAATATCTGTTTATTTTTCCTGTCAATTAGCGAGTGCGGGGACCGCCAGGAATTTCATTTCACTTCCTACGTCACCGGTAACCAGCCGCTGAAAATGGCGACCGAAAAACTAAAAAAAGTAAAGCGATACGAATTCTAATCTGGCATCCACACATATAAGTATAAGTATGC